CAAAGTTCAAAAGTAGCCTAGCACCTGCCCGTAGTTGGGGCGCACCCTGAAGCCGTACTGGCGCCTCTCCTCCATGGCTTTGTTACATGATGCCGCCCACGACGCCCGACTCCTGGGTGTTCCGTCCTGAGGCGACGTCCCGCGCGGCGCGGCGCACGCCTGCCCGTTCGGCGGGGGCGTACCTCAACTGCGGCGGGCGCCTGTTGACGGTGTCCGTCAGCCGGCCCACAGCGTCGGTGTACTCCTCGCCTTCCTTGCGCAGCCGCCGGTTCTCCAGCCACTCGTTCAAAACGCGGGCTTCTAAAAGCTCGTTGTAGCGCTTGTAGAGCAGCGGCTGCACCCTGTAGGAGGGGTACTGCTTCCAGAAGCTGCGAAGCATCTGCGGCTCGTTCCGCCGCTCCAGGGGCATCATGGTTTGTTTAGACATCCATGCTGGCCGCCACGGCCAGCTGCTCGAAGCGGTTCTGCCGGCTGATCTGGCGCACCCTCCGCGTTTGCGCGGGTGTCAGGTGGACAGGGCGGCGCGGCTGCTCCGGCTGCTGGGGCTGCTGCTCCGGCTCCGGAGCCACTGCAGCCTGCGGTAGCGGTTCACCGCCTGCCCCAGCGTCGGCGGGGACGGTCGCCGGCGGCGGCTTGGCCTTGTTTTTGCTGCCGGGGGGTCGGCCGCGCTTCTTGGGCGCCGCCTTGACCCCTGGGCCTCCGGCACTCTCCGCAGGGGGCAGGGCCACCATGGGGTCGGCAGGCCCGAGAAGGAACTGCGGCAAAATCCCCAGCAGGTCCAGAAGGTGGTCCCATAGGCTCTGGGTCGCCGTGGCTGGGCTCCGCGGGCTCGATGGGCTCGGAGCAGCCGCGCATGCTGCCTCCTCAGCCTGGTCGGGCTGGTGCTCATCCGGCATTTCCGCTTTTTCCTAGGGAGGGAATCATTTATCTGGATCGAGGAAGAGGGCGAAGGAGACGCTGGTTCCTCGGGTGTTCACTTCGTTGCCGTCCACGTCGGTGAGGCGGAAACTCAGCGTGCGGAGGGTGATCGGTCCCCGCAGCTCCACCAGGTGCCCGTCGTCCGTCTGGTCCTTCATGACGTGGCCCACGCCCTTGTCGATGATCACCTTGCAGATGATGTCGGTGCCCAGCGGTCCCAGGATATGGGCAGCGTTGCCCAGCTCCCTGGATCGGAGATAAACCTCGTTGAACGGGTTCATGGAGACCCAGTCGCTGAGGATGTGGCGGTTCCCATCTGCTGCGACTTCTATGGAGTTTTGGGCCTCCACGTAGGTGGCCGAGGCGTAATTGGAGGAGATCCACGCCGCCAGCCGCGCGCCCGTCCAGGCTCCGATGGGCAGCTGCGCGCTGTTCAGCGTGCCCAGGGCCTGGTCGATCCAGTAGAGGTTCCGGCCCCGGTCCGTCGAAAGGAAGGCGTCGGCGATGCGGACCTTGTACACCGCCATCTTGGCGCTGGACTGCA